GGAAATACGTCGACATGTTATTTAAACATCATATTTTAGTTTATTTTTGAAATTTTATTTGACAGATGTCATTTGTAAATATCATTTGACAGGAGAGGATCTTTGGAAATATGTGGACGATTTGTTTAATTGTCATGTTTTAGTTTATGTTTGAAATTTTATTTGACAGATGTCATTTGTAAATATCATTTGTCAGAAAATTGTTTGGAAATACGTCGACATGTTATTTAAACGTCATATTTTAGTTTATTTTTGAAATTTTATTTGACAGATGTCATTTGTAAATTTCATTTGTCAGGAGGTTCTTTGGAAATATGTCGACAAGTTTATTTTTGAAATTTTATTTGACAGATGTCATATGTAAATATCATTTTTCAGGAAATTGTTTGGAAATACGTCGACATGTTATTTAAACGTCATATTTTAGTTTATTTTTGAAATTTTATTTGACAGATGTCATTTGTAAATATCATTTGTCAGGAAATTGTTTGGAAATACGTCGACATGTTATTTAAACGTCATATTTTAATTTATTTTTGAAATTTTATTTGACAGATGTCATATGTAAATATCCTTTGACAGGAGAGGATCTTTGGAAATATGTCGACGATTTGTTTAATCGTCATATTTTAGTTTATTTTTGAAATTTTGACAGATGTCATTTGTAAATATCATTTGTCAGGAAATTCTTTGGAAATACGTCGACTTGTTGTTTAAACGTCATATTTTGACAATATGTCAAATACACAACAGTCTTACGATAAATGAAATAATCTTTTTTTTTTTGGCAGACGACAGAACGGTTCTATAACATTATGTCAACTTATGCTTTCGTAAAATAAATTTATAAAGTTATACCAAACACAATTAAATAAATCTATTGATGCCACTATCTATTAGAAAGTTTAAATTTACATTAACCTAAAATTAATTAGATTATATAATAATTATTAGTACTTAAATTTATTTACTTCTAATTATCTAAAGTACTTGAACTATTGAATAAATTTAAAGATACTAAAATATTATCTAGTAAAAATATTCATGTAGATGTGTAATATTCGTCTGAAAATAAATGTAACTGTTTGTTGGATGCCTGAGTAATTTATAGTTTGCGTCGAAAAGTTTTTGATTAAAGTGTGAAAGCGCCGGGCGTGAACACGTAATAAGTGGTATAAGAAAGGAAATTTCGTAGAGCCGTTGTGGGTGTATATAAATCTAAGTTCAAGATTGAACTGGAATATGAAGTAGGAACTAAATGTAAAAATGGGGGGTGTTGGGGGGTGGTAGACTTGGGCGTCTAACATAGATATTACCCGAACGTTACTCTCGTAGAATGGAAGCACCTTCCAGTCCTATTTTTTTTTTATTTTACCACTTCTTCTTGCTGCTCCTTTTTCATAGATATTAAAATTCAGAAGGTGTAACTTACTTGTACCAGACTTCGTAGGACGCGTTGTGGTCGTCCATCTTAAGGACGCACTTGTTGCGAAGTTCCCCTTTGTACACTTGCAGGGCGAACAGCGCGAAGACCATCAGACAGAAGATCGTTAACGTCATTACCTCCGCTAATTGCTTGAACGAATGCAGCAACGCATTTATGATTGTTTTCAGTCCTGAAATAATAATAATAATAATACAAACAATAATTAGATAACATAACTATTAAGTAATTAATAAGCAACATATGAATTGAAATGTAACTTTCTAAATGAAAAACTAATATATTGTGTGGATAAAAAGAAATAGATTTATTTCTTTTGACATTTGACAGATGTCACTTTTAGACTAGTTATTAGCAAATTGCACTTAATTATGTTTGCAACTATTAGTTAATATATCAGACAAATTCTGATATATTAAGGGTGCCGCAAACCTACATAGTTTGGGAACCATGATATGCAAAAATGAATATTTTACTCTTTAATTTCTGCAAAGGCTGCTGAAATTTATAACGATATATTTGAAGTTGATTTTTTTTTGCTAATAACTTCTATGAGTGAGGAATTATAAAGATGTTACAAAGATGCTAAAAGGTAATTGAACAAAATAGAAAATTTATAAAGTTTATTCTTGAAGTTCTTCAGTTCTATTTCACACTACAAAACCGAAATTGCTTTCTTGCCAACTCAAATTTTTTGAGAATTTTTGTATAACTAATATGTATATTTGTTAGGCCTAACACTTTCCTCTTAATTATTACAAATCATATTTAACGTATCCATCAAATATACAAACGGACACTTGTACGTGATTATTTAGAATAACTATTGGAATATTCCGAAGGACGGTTACACATTAAATCGTATAGTTGCGTCTATTGCAAACTCTTACCTCCCACGCAGCCCCTTCTTGAAATGAACACATTTTTGTATTATATAATTAGTCTTAGTCAGGAGACCGAATAGAGAGGAAGTCTTAGCTAAGGGGTCGAACTGAGAAGTTAGTATTCCTTGGGAGAGTCCAAGGAAGAACACTTACTTCATAAATACTATCTTAAGAGGAGAATGTAACTTTTAGTTAATAATCCATGAGATCAACTATTATGTAGTTGACTTCTCAATAAAACTCCGATGTGTATAATCAAACTATATACTATAACTATATAATAAAGACTCCACACCGACATAACTACGCGATAATCCACGGTGTCCAAGGATTTCTTAAACCCGGGACACGACAATTTATACTAGACTAAAAGTCTTAATTTGATTATTTATTTTTGTCATTTAAATTTTAGTTGAAATGTAAGTTTTATTAAACAGTTTTCTGTGTACTTTTCGCATTTATTGTTATAAATAATCGACAAATAATCTTGTTAAAAATGAAATAGAAAATAATCGTTAGGTCAATTTTATAATTTGCTAGTGTTTTTATTTGATTAAAAGTTAAGTTACAGTTTTGCTCGTTATGGTTCATTCCATTGTATGTAAGTTTTTGTATATTATTGACATTAATTATTTAATTAATAATTGCACGTTTACTTCAAATGAAGTAAAAATGTTGTGGATCCTCCACTATTAAAAACCACAGTTCACGATTTTTTATTGTAATAATCCGTTTCTCTACCTTTTTAATTAGCTATTGAATACAGTAGAACCTGGTTTTGTGGGGTCCTTTTTTATGCGATTTTTTTTATTCGGTATATGTTTTCTAATGTTTTCTATCAGTGTGCATATGTACAGACTGCTCAAACGATTCTGTTAGTCGATTTTGGACAAATTCATCACAAGAATATGTGCATTTTTGAAAATATTTCCATATATACAATGGGAAATTAAATGTTTCCATGTGTAATTTAATTGTTTATTTTGTTTGGATGCACTTTCTCATGTATTTCGTAAATTATGATGATATTTTCTGTAATGTATTGTATATAGTTATTTGGGGTCTATATCGCAAGCCCGACAACCGAAAGACCGTCTATTGAAATCCCGACGTTCGAAATCCCGACTGTATCAAAATCCCAACTATATCGAAATCCCGACTAGCATAAAAATGTTATTGTAGAAATTTATAATAATAAAAGACACTGTCGGGATTTCGATAGACGGTATTTCGGTTGTCGGGCTTGCGATTGCTACCGATTTATTTGTTATATGTAAGAATTTTTTTGTGCGGTTTCTTTTATGCGGTCCCTATCTACCGCACAAAAACAGGTTTTACTGTAATTAGGTATTAGAACAGATTTTGGAATGTATTATTAGAACAAATCGAGTTTACACTACATAATTATATTTCGATATAAATATAAAAATAAAATAACCAAGTTGATTTCTCTTGTTTAATAATGTTTTTTCTTGATTTTCATATTACAATTTTTGTAAGTCTTAAATAAATACAATAAAAAAAAACACATCAATGTGTTGAAATTATCTTGAATTTCAAAAATATTTATTCATGTTTCTTTTATTAATTAAAAATGTATAATTTGTTTTAATTTTGTATTTATAAAAATTTGGTTAATAATTTCTTAACAATGTTTTCAGTTCATAGAATTCAACTATAATGAAATTATATAAATATCAAAATTTGGAAATATTGAAACATTGATCTAACTTTTACAGTTTCATTACTTTTTGCTCCATCTTATTACAGACAGATACGTTTCATTTCCGTCTCCGAAGCAGTGCATTGTCATGTTCTTTGGAGCGTAACACCTAACACAATCCCGGTGGATTTCAATTGAGTGCTTTCCTTGAAATTCTGTTCTCTGCTCTTCCCACGATTGTGGACATCCACGTAATATTTGTTCACGACAAATAAATGATATAAAATATTATTACACACACTACACATATATTTGAAATTGTAACGAAATTTAAAAGTAATTTTAAGTAAAATAGAAACCAGAATCAATTTTAATCGTAAAACTTTAAGAAATTATATAATTTTCTTAACCAGAAAGTTTTTATAGATGCATGTTTTTGCATCGAAATTAATTGGTTTGTATATAAGTGATATTTCAATCATTTTTTTTTTCTTCTAAAAAAATGAAAGAAAACGAAGTACATTTTAAATAGTTCACGCTTTTCTATTATCTGAATATTTATATCAAATGATTTACTAAGTAAAATCTATGATTCAGAAGTTTTTTACTTTAACAATCAAGAAAATGGAATCTGGAAACATTACGTAAAATACATTTATACAAGTCTGTAGTCTACTTAATTTTATAAAAAAATATGTCTAATTTTATTCACAGTTTCTAAGACTTTAACTTGATAATATTTTTAGTAAAATGATTAATTAGAAGTAAAATAGTCAAAGTTTATATATTTGCATTTGATTTAGTTGAAAATATACAGCAATACCTCGTATAGTCCGGGTAATCAGACTGTATAAACAAACAAAAAAATCGATAATTTATTTATAAAAATAATAATTTTGTATACTGTTTTTTGTATAATTTATAGATTTGAATCATGGATCATCTAATAGAGATATAAGTCACTTGTAGGTCTACTTAATGTTATAGAAAATATATATAATAGAGACTTAAGTCTAATTTAATAGAATATGTTTGATTTTTGAAGTAATATAGTCAAGATTATATTTGTAGAATAAAAAAGAAATTTAAAATTTCCACTTCTAAATTTAATTTAATTTTATAGAAACTATGTCTAAATCGCATTTACTAAGCCTTTAACATATTAAACTCGTATGTAATGGATTGGAAGACAAAACAGACAAAGATTTAATCAATCGTATAAAAATTATTTATAAAATACTTTCATAATAAAGATTTTAGTGGAATAAAGTACAAATTCAAAAGTTACTTAATATTAAAGAAAATATGGATAACTTTTGTCACAGTTGCAAAGATTTTAACATATTAAATAGTAGTAATTTACATTTAGTTATAAAACAATTAGATTATATGGACTTTTAAAGAACAAAGTTACAAGCTGTTACAAAGCGTTTAAAATGTTAACTTTTATCGTAATACGGAGGATTTAAAGTGAAACAGCCATGATTGAACTCATTGAATACGGCTGAAAGAAAGTTAGATGAGAATTTCGCTGAGTGGCAGTAAAAGGCGGAGAGCAGAAGGAAGTAGAGTGACCTAAATAATGAGGCGAATAGCGGAACATAAACGGCAATGGGAAGGAAACATAGCCCAATAAATGATGATAAGTGGACATAAAAGCCGGGCATTGGTGACCAAGAAAAATGAAGCAATTCTTCCAAACACTAGAGTTATAAAATAACCAGATGGAACCCAAAGTTGTTGAACGCGATCATAGCTCGAATATTTCATCATCCCATCTTCTATCTAATATAAAATAGTTTAAATAAGTTATGAATGTATTTATATAACTTTTGAATTGACATAAAAATTGGTATGAACAAAAGATATGAAACCAAGAAATTATAAGCTCTAATTATTGTTCAAAACATAATTTTACTATAGAAAAAGTCCAGTGTTTCTCAAGTTTTTTTTTATCTCAGGCCCCACTTGTACCAATAATTCAAATGTGTCCTGACTTCATTAGAAAATAATACTTCACAGTACACCGGTTAAAAATCGCTGATATAATCAAACATATGTCTTGTTTAAATATCAAAATTTAGCTAAAACTGTAAATCAATATATACAACAACAACAAAAAAAAATACCTTGAACAGACGTTGAGGATATCTTCTCTTTTGGAGGTGTAAGGAAACGAAGATTTCTGCACAGGGCCTCCCCGAATAAACGGCCTAACTGCTAGGATCACACATTAGGGCGTTTCATTCGGAGACGCCCAGTATAGAATCAAAACGATTTGCAAATCCATTTAAAAACTTTTGGTTAACGGACAATAATGTTTTGAGTGGTTTTTCTGCTTTCCGCCGAACCCAATTTAAACGCAATATCGAAATCGAACCGTTGCACCAACAAGTTTCCATCTTTTTTTTTATGTTTTTTTTTTATAAATGTGAAACTCAATTAATTTAAAATCCGGGATGAATATGCCACCGCAACTGCCATCCGGTTCTCTGTTCACATTCAATATTTTGAATGTTTCCACATTACGAAACAATAGTAATGTGGTATAACAATACGGTGGGCTTTTTTTTTTTATAATATGTTATAAAATAAACGTAAAAATATTGAAAATGTAAATAAATTATCC